CTTGTTTGTTTTATGAAAAAATATAATTTTCCTATTATGAAAAATAATGTACCTATACACATTTACAGGTATATTGTAAAATAATTTACCTGTGGGTAAATAATGTACCTATTTTTTATATAAATTATTGTGTACCTATTTTTAATTAGGAAAAATATACGCAATTACATAGTAACTGACTTTGTTTTTTTTTTTTGGTGGTAAATAATATACCTATATTTTATATGTATATATTTATATTATATTTTTCCTAGGTACATTATTGGATATGTAATTTACAGAATTTTTTTTTTTGTTTGCAATTTTAGGGGGGGCGAGATGTGAGAGGGAATGACAACTAAAAGAAATGGGGTGATTGGTGTGAAATTGGGTTTTACACATAGATTTATAGAGTGATGGGTATATGTCTAGGAAATAGAAAAGGTAGGGATCTATATTGGACAAGCCCCAAAAAAAAAAACAAGTGAAATTAAAATTAAACATATGCACGATGGAAAAGTCTTTTCACAAATACAATCATAATAACCAAACGCTCTAGTATTCACATATAAGAAGATCATCGATACTCTGAATCATAGCCGCATTCGGCTGTCTCTCCTGGCAATATTGATCCAGCTGTCGTATTTGAAGAGAATTGAACCCTCAACTTTTCACAGTTAAACCATATCTCAAACGTTCCTGGTGCACTAGGAAAAATCCATCGCCAACCGCCCCATTCTACGCGGATCTTTGCATGAATTTTGACGTTGAAATTCACAGCCCGAGTTTGGCTCCTTTCTGCATCAATGGCTCTGGCTATCTGGTTGCTAACAACTGCGGGGGAGACAATAACAGCGACCGACAAGAACTCTGTCTCCTTTGGTTGCTGAACAAAAGGCCTGATCAATGCTCCTCCGAGAAACTCATCTCTGTAAAAGACCTCGGCGTCGAGTACCTGATAAGTTACCCTAACAATACTATAAGGGTTTGTTAAGAAGAAACTGATGTTCCAGAGAGCAGTTACTTGAGAGTTGAGAACAGAGACTTTGAAGAGCTCAACCGAAAACAAGTGCACCTGGATGCTTGAGGAGGAAAACCCTTTTGGTGTTTGATATAATGTGGCAGAAAAGAATAATGTCACAATTAAAAACAGGGAGATAATACACGTCACGAACTTGTTCCTATCCTCCTCCTCCTCCTCCTCCTCATCATGATCAGCCCTTTTCAGATTTTTCTTAGGTGATGGTGGAAGCAGAGGTGTGTTCTCGTCAACTACAACAACAACCACCTTTTGATCTGCCGATTTTGCTTCAATCTTGACTGCTTCCTTTACTTTTGGGTGTAACTTTTCTCTATCAATGTCGTGTGGCGGTTTTTCATCATTCTGCTGTACTGCTATACTCATGTTTAGTTTAAATTTAGGGTTTGTGTGTGTTTGCTTGCTACGAATTAATGCAGAAAGAAGATTATGATGAATTAATAAGAAAATCTAGCAAGCCCCTGTTTTCTGGTTATTGGCGTTGTTGGTTGTCTTTTAAAGGGTGACCAAGGGGGAGTTGTTTGTTTGTATTTCTAATTCCTAAATTCGGTAGATTCTTTATCTAATTTTTTTGTGCGAAAAGGGGAATTCGTTCCAAATAAGATAACCACTCATGGTATGTTTACTTACAAGCAATAAGTATGGGAAGAAAAGGAAGTATTTCAATTCCTGACTTCCCCCATTTTTACTAACACATAAGGAATGAAATTTATGCAAGACCCACCTTAAATCTGTAATCACATACCTTTAAAATCAAGAACCAAATCAACTAAGAGTCGTTGGTTCCTGTTCTCCAAAAATAACCGTACAACTTTATCCCAATTATTTTGATTTCAATATGGTTAGTAAATTACTTAAATGGGAATGACTTGTTCTCATACCAAGTCATTCCAACTTTATCCCAATTTATTTTATTCACGAATTCACCTGCTAAGAGACAAATTTAGATGCAAAAATCTTGCAGTTCAAGTAATTAAGAGCATTTACCCTAACACTTGAAGTCTCATAGACTTTGGAAAAACACAAAGGAGAGAGAAATTTTGTAAAATAAGCAAAAATAGACAAAATTACCCTTATTTATTTTTGGATTTCCTAAGGAATCCTTTACATTTGCATGTCTTTGATTTGAAAGTTGAGAGGTTTTTCTGTCTTTTTCTAAAAAGCTTTGGCTTTTTCCAAAAGTGAATTTTTTTTTTTTGGCTAAAACCTAAATTTACTTTCCTTTTTTCTTAATATCACTCGTATAAAAATAAACAAATAAAATAAAGTCAAATTTAGACTTGTAGATAACAATTGATTTTTCTTTGTCGTATGGGATGCGAATTCCAGCAATGGCCAAACTCTTGCTTTGCCAAATTTGCAGTACATCGGTGTGTTGTGCATTTTAATAAATAAGAAATATAATAGGAACATAAACAAATTCATATCATTTTTTTTTTTGGTCGAAATCATATCCCATTTCATTAAAACGCCAAATAGGCAGGTGTACAAAGCACAGACCAATGACACAACAAAACCGTAATATAACCAGGAAAGAATATCTAAACTCAAACCAAGTCTAGAACAAAGTTATCATACCCAGTATAATAACACAAATAACTCAAAACAACACACATAGTCCAATGGCCCACCCCAAATACAATTAGAGCCCAAAAATAAGCATATAGCCCAGTTCACACTCAAAGCTAGGATTTTGGCAAACCCTAGCCTAAGCACACAAAAGCCGCCGTGAGAGAAGACATCACCACTACACAAAACAACATAGCTGCACACAAAAGACCCACAAATCTGCCACCAAGACTAGAAGTTCCCTGAACCACATAGCCGTTTCAGAACCAAGACATCCACCCATGAATCACCAACTCCACCAAGCTTGAACCCGCATATCATTGTCACAGTTATTGGTGTTCACAAAAAGACGAATGGGAATGGGTATTGGTGTTCAGAAAAAGAGAGGTTTGCACTGGGATGCTTTTTAGCATATAGGACACCAAAAAACGTGTCAATATAAACTCGTTTTGTGGACACCAATACTCATGCCCATTGATATTTTTATTAGTAGTGAGAACTGTCAACGGGAATATCAAAGTTTGTGATCAAGAACTCCATTATGCAAGGGGATCAAAGTGAAATATCAAAACTGTACATCAACATTTTTTTTTTAATTTGAGCTCTATATTGAGTATAATAGTAAATCTTTCAATAATCAAATCCTTTTTTATCCATTATTTATAAGATAGGTGTCGTTTTTATTACCAGACTTAAAATCACCTTAAGTTATATACAACTAGTTGGTCAAGACAATCATATCATATATATAATTTCTGGTTCAGAATGAAGCATGATGTATAGAAAGAACTAGCAAACAACATGCATAAAACCGCATTCGCGTGGCCCTCCTGGCAGTATTGATCCAGCAGCTGCTGTTGCATTTGATGAATTGAATTGAACATTCAACTTTTCACAATCGACAGAAACCCTAAATTCTGGATTTTGACGAAGAACAAATACCCATTCCCATCCCCCTTTCACAAGGACTTTTGCATAAATTTCCACGTCGAAACTTACAGCTCCAGTTCTGCTCCTTTCTGCAACAAAAGCGTTGACTATCTTCTTGCTGACCACTGTGGCAGAAGACACGACAGCGGCCGACACCAACTTGGTCTCCTTTGACTGCTGCACAAAAGGGTTCATGAATGCGCCTCCTAGAAACTCATCCCTGTAAAAGACCTCGGCGTAAATCTCTCGAAAAATTAGGCTGCTACTGCCATATGAGGGTTTCTGAGGAAGAAAGTGATGTTCCAGTGAGCAGTTATTTGAGAGTCTGGAACAGCAACATCCACGTCGAAGCGCTCAACGGAGAAGGAGACTAGTTGGATGCTTGGGGTGGAAAACGTCGCTGGAGATAAATCGGCAATACCGCACACACACAAAATGAACCAAAACAAACAGCCGATTGCAAGCCATTTCTGTACATCACAGGGCGCCTCCTCAGCCCTGGTGGTCTAACCGTTACCTGATGAGGAAGGAAGCAGAGGTGTTTTCTCATCCACCTTTTGGTCTGCCGATTTTCCTTCATTCTTCACTGCCAACTTTTCCTTCGGCTGTAACTTCTCTCTATCAATCTCGACTGCCACGTGTGGCGATTCTTCATCATTCTTCCTCACTGCTCCTATACACATGTTTAGAGTTTATGGTTTAGGGTTTGTGTGTCAGCTTGCTACGAATGACCAGGGAGGGGAGGGAGTTGTTGTTTGTTCATAATTCTAATTCCTAAATAGCCTCGATAACCACTGAATTTGAATTTGAATTTGTTTGTGTTGAAACATTTTCTTTTTAAAATGCTTAAGGGTCAACTTTAAACTTGTAGGTAACCATTGAATTCTTTTCCGTATGGAATACAAACTCTTAGATTTGCCAGATTTGCATGCGTGGAATTGAAGCCCACATATTAGAGGCCTTTTTCACTGAGCTTAATAATCACCTTCATCAGATTATAGAGAAGATTATTTCAATCTTAACCAAAGAATTTATCTGTAGCCCTAAACATAAACATTAGGTTTATTGTTATGAGTAAAGAAAAGTTATCGTTTCTTCAGATTTCGACAACGAAGAACAAACCTGATAGACAATTTCAGCAATACTAATTTTTTGTTTTGTTACAACCCCAATAATAACATTGGCTGCAAGCTAACAGCATATCATACATTTGGCTAGAAGACAATGTTATAATTCGTATGGTCACTATGTACAACAACCGAATGCATTCAAAGAATTACAAATTGAAGAAATTAAAAAAAAAAAAACTTGAGACCTGGTTGTTCTCTCTGGAATTCAAAATGGATTTGAATTTTCAAGAGGCGTGACAAAAGGCTGAGATTAGTATTGCAGTTTCAAGTAACATCAACAAGAGAAAGCTTACTATAGAGAGAGCTTCACGAACTCCGCCCGCCTTCCTCGATCCTCAATCCTTTAAGACTCTTTGCTAACCAGATAGCTGTCTCCCTTGGGGAGACTTTATCTTTCCCAAAAGGCTTCAAAACAACTGAGAGTTCCTCCAATCTGTTGTGCTGCAGCAAATCTGCAGATAGTTCTAGTAGTCCTTCTAGTGCCTCTGCTCTCTGCCTAAAAGACTTGACATCCATTATTTCCTTTTCTGGTATTTCCTCTTCGGTCATAGGAGGACTGGGCTTTGTTGGCTCAGAGGAATCAGATTTTTGAGCTGACGGTACAAGGTTCCTCATCTCAGTTTCTTTGGCATCCGAGTGATCAGAATTATTGGATTTTGGGCTTAATGTTTCAGAGCAGTTTGAGGATTTAGGAGCAATAGGAACAGTCACATTTCGCATCTCCAATTCGTCCCTTACTACATTTATCAGCTTCCCAACATCCACATTCTGAACCCCCATCTCCACAGATTCCATTACTGGCTGATCACTCCCGACACGGAAACTACTATGCCGTATTACATGTATGACATCATCAAAAGCAGGAGGAAGATTAGCAGCAGCTGCCTTTTCACCTGACGGAGTTTGCAAGCTGGTTCCTCTATCTGGCTGAAATAAATTTTGGCTTGATGAAATGGGAGGGGGAACAGAAAGGGTAGTGTCTTTTTTTTGGTCTGAAGAAAGGGTAGTGTCTGCAACCGGGGATAGAAGTTCCCTTACAGTGAACTTGTCATGACCACTTGATGTAGATGTATATTTTGACTGGAACACTGTACCAGGCGTACTACTGGGCCTATTTACAGGGGTATGATCATTGCAAATAAATCTTTCTTCAGAAACCGGGACAGGGAGATCAAGAGCGGCAGTCAAATTCACTTGTTCGTCACCAGCTGTTGTATTGTGAAGATCTAGAATAGCCTCAGAGGTTTCAATTAAGCATTCTGATTTATTATCATGCTTATGGTTTTTTGCAGTCTCAGACATCACTGAATGAAAATGAGTAGCAGCTGAACAACTTGGTGGAGATTCTGTACTCTCAGTGTGTGTGACACTCCCATAATCAGGAAGCATCTGCTCAGTCATGTCAATAAAAGGAGTCGTTGCATCATCACAAATCTCAAATCCTTGAATTGAAACAGAAGAGGAGATAGAATTGCTGCTATCCGTCTGCATTCCTTTCGAACTTGTCTCTTGATATCTTTGAGGCTCTTCTGTGACCTCTCTAGGAAAGTTTGTTAGGCAACCGTTAGGCACTTGAGGAGGATTCTTTTCAGGCTCCTGTGTTATCTCTCTAGCACTTATCCTCGGAGCATAGCTCACTGCATTTGGAACATCAACCCCCACTTGCTTCATCCGTCCGGGAAATGTTGAACGTCTAGCCAGCGTAGGAGGGGTCCTTTGCCTAGGCTTAGGAATTCCATCATCAAAAAATTGTTTTATAGGAACAGGGGGAGGAGTACCATCATTTCTGGGTTTAGGTTTTGGTGAGGAGTCAACTATGGGTAACTGTAAAAATAAACCACAATACATCAATAATCAGTTAAATCCACATATTTAATATAAATAAATAATTTAAACATTATTATTACCGGATGCTTTAAAGGATGGGATCCCTGTGTCCGTTTTGCAGAATCAGGGATTGCCATTGATGATGCAACAGTGGGTGTATCAGGACTGGACTTGATACCAGGAGAAACATCACTCAGCCTGGGTATTTTAGACACTGCTTCTGTGTTAGTTCTCTGGGTGGACACACCAACCTTTGTACGATTACTTCTCATTGGTGAACTATTTTCCCTAACTTTTCCTTCTTTCAAAGCCAGCATTATATTCCTAATGGTTTTTGGTTGCCTGAATTCAACATTGAATTCAGAATGAGAAGGCTTCATCAACTGTTGTTCCACTTTAATAGAACAAACATTTGGGCCATGTTCTTCAATAGGCAGGAGCTGCTCAGAGCCATCTTCATCCTCGAGAGAAACAAAATCTGTCTCAGTAGCTTTATTATCACAGTTTGACTCCATTTCTGGAACGTTTTTCTCAATTGAACGCAAACTGTCTTTATCACTGCTTGAACCATTACTGTTTTGGCTTTCTGCCATGTTTCTTCGAGATTCACGAGCTCTAGATATAGGCTTATCGGGAGAGAAGGCTGTTCGAGTGCTAAAGGATGGACGATACTGTTCAACATAAGGCAGCAAATAAGGGTGCTTCAAAACCTCAGATGCCTGACAAAGTGGAAGTCGTAATTATTAGGATGCAGTTGCTCAAAATTGTGAAAGTTGAGTAGAGTATCCTAGAGAGACACTTACACTTGGCCGATGCTCAGGGTTCTTTCTCAGCATGCCTTTGATTAGTGTTTTCCTGCATGCACAATGGCCAAAAGATTGATTAACATGCTATAGAGCATCCAGTTTTCAACAATATACAGTAAAGCAATTATTTGGAAGAAAACCAAAAGTGAAAATTACGTTTCTCCACTCTTTTTATAAGCAGGAAAAGCATTTAATATTACCAACCGAACGCCCGTGTTGACATGTTTATGTACATCCTTTCAAAATATGTGTAGTTCTATGTGTGTGTCTGCACCTATTGATATTTATATATATCTTTCATGGTACAGGGGCAGAAGGCACAGTAATGCAGAGCAAGAGCCAAGTCCAGGTAAAATAATTGAGAACACAAACATAACTCGAAGAAGATGAAACTTAACAATAGAAGATAAAAACTTACAAGGATGGGGAATAGCAAGGCGGCAAAGGACCTATAGAGGAACGATTAATCTTGCTTATCAATCCTGCCATATCCTGAAACAACAGGTGTAATGCAAACATTCAACTTCTGATAAGAATCACTAATCAAGATATTTATATGGTTCATGACAGCATAAAGTTGACTAGTTAAGGAGTGGGGCCTTGTAGCTCCTATGGTAGATAAAATTTTCCCCCACACCAAGGCCAGAGATCATATTCCCCCCTGCCCCTCTGGCCTCCCTTCTAACCAAAAACGTTTACTACTTGAAGAAAGCAGTTAACAATGTGTGAGAGCACAAACTTTTTATCACACATCATTTTGAACCAGGCATTTCCATGGTGCCAAAAAAGAAATGGTGGGGAAGAAAAAAAGAACCCCAACAGATG